CACGCGGGCCTCTCACTGTTGTGGCCTCTCCCACTGTGGAGCACAGGCTCCGGACGCACAGGCTCAGCGGCCATGGCTCACGGGCCCAGCCGCTCCGCGGCACGTGGGATCTTCCCGGACCGGGGCACGAACCCGTGTCCCCTGCATCGGCAGGCGGACTCTCAACCACTGTGCCACCAGGGAAGCCCCCCAGATATAACTTTGTTAGCTAGGGAAGCAGGCGTTCATCTTGTTCCTAACTTCATCGTGGAGGCTGAGAATGGGGGAGGTGGGGAATGATAGATACAATACAAGAGAAAAGAGGTCTGTTTTCCCTCTTGTATAATGGAATACATCGAGGCCAGCGATTTTAGTTCCTCTCGGTTTGGGAGCCTGGAGAGAATTTGGACTTTTAGTTGCATTGCTCTCGCTTCACCTCAGCCCCTAGAAGGTCATAGGACAAAATAAGATTGACCTCCGTCACCCTCGTTCACAAATCTCAAGTGTCCAAAGCCCTTTAAGGTACTGACCTGCTAGTGAACTTGAACTGTATTGTGTGCTGTGTCCCATTTTAGGCAGTTTCATCAGTCCATTTCAGGGAGGTTGGTCTTCATTAAAACAGCTGGTCATCTTTTGAAATGAAAGGCAGCACACTTTCTTATGAGGGCCCGACCTTTTTATTTTCCAATGAACTGAAGAGAGATTGGGTAGTGAGTGTATAGTCACCGCTTGGCGTAGGTTTAAGCAAATGCTAGTTGAGAATGGGATGCTCATCAAAATGGAAAAGCCTAGCTCCCGTGTTTCTCGCTGTGGTAGTCATTCCGTGTGTACTGCAAAGACCGTTGGGGTGAAAGAAATTTAGCCGCCTTAATGTGCTTGCCCTGAAGTCATGAACTGCTCTTGATTACTGTTAAACATCGTGATGCGTTCAGAGTTCGATTTCCCCCGACAAGCCATTTACTTAAGGGTCTGGATAATGTAAACAGGGATGGGAGGTCACGAGAGGTACCGACATTATCCCAAGGCCAGCACTGCTCTACTGAAACGTAAATGTCTCCGAACTGAAAATGTCACCTGACTGCCCCCGGGGAGGTCTTTATGGACATCTCAAGTCAAAGTCGATTTTAAAAATGAATGAAACTCTTATTCCTCACAAGAATGGAGCGTGAACTGTGGCTCTCTCCATTTCACTTCATGGATGCTCATTTTGTCTCCTCACAGCCCCCCCCCCCACCAACCCCCCGTGTTCCTTTTCCCTCTTCAGGTACTTAAATGTCATCACCCACCAGTTCGGGGTTCTTTCTTACGCTGAACGTTTCTGTTGGAGGGCGGCGGGTGGAAGCCGAGGAGGGGTGGGGGAGGACTGTGACTCAATTGCTTGTGCTGCCTGGCCCAGGGCAACATTGTTATTTACAAGTTGAGCTAATTTCTGGTATTGACATGAAACTTGAGTGGACCCACTTGAGCCGATCTGGGGGACTTGGTGCTTCTAGGGACCAACATGCCCACCACCTTTCCAAAATGATTCCCTTGATAACTTTTCTGACCACAGCAATAGTGTAATTACTGTATTTGAGTCTTCTGGTTGCCCAGGAGGTCAAAGGCTCGGGGAAAGCCATTGGCTGCTGCAAAGAGAGAGAAATAGGTACCCGAAACCCCAGAAGGCTGAGGTTGGGGGGAACTTGACGGTCGCTTTTCTTCATAGAACCGCAGCCTCACTGCAGCTCTTTTGACATTGCGAGTGGGATGACTGCTGCTCCTTGAGCAGGGCGGCCCCTAACCTGACCCCGGGTCAGACAAAAACTTGTAGAATTGTGCCTCACTCCATAACTATTTGTCAGTTGGCTGCTCTGCCACTCACCCCGAGCAAATTAAGCTACACATGTCCTCTTGGAGCCCCCGAGTCCTCACCCACAGAATGTGAGATGACGACAGCTCCCCCTCTGGTCCTTGGGACGTTGAGCTGTTGTCCATAGAGCATGCGCGGGAAGTTGGACGAGTCGAGCCTTCTCTGTTAATGGGTGGTCTGCACGAAGTCAGGAGTTTTGCCCTTAACAGCGGCATTTTCTCTCCTGTGGGTCCAGGCTGCTTCGAATGCTGCATCAAGTGTCTGGGAGGAGTCCCCTACGCCTCCCTCGTGGCCACCATCCTCTGCTTCTCCGGGGTCGCCTTGTTCTGTGGCTGTGGGCACGTGGCTCTCGCGGGCACCGTGGCGATCCTTGAGCAACACTTCTCCACCAACACCAGTGACCACGCCCTGCTGAGCGAGGTGTAAGTACCTGCTTCCTTTGAAGATGTATTTAAAGTGCCACCACCCCAGGAGGGTTTACAGAAAGAATGCAGTGTGCTCACCTGGGAGAAAATGGGTGCTTTTCATTCACGCTCCCTGGAGGCAGAGAGGAAAAGGTCCGAGAGAGAAGGAAAAAGAAAGGGCCAAGAGTGCAGTGGGTGTTTGGGACCTGGGGTGGGATCTCACCAGGGTGCACACATAGGACACTGCACACAGTGGCCGAGGGCGACGGTGGCAGTGCTGCCAATCCTCCCACCAGGAGAGTTATACCATGGTTCCCAGGTAACAGTCGCCCTCCAGTGTTGTCACAGAAAACGGCCAGCCCTGGAATGATAGGAACCCTGTGGAGGACTTAGCCCAACTCTAGATAAGTCTACAGGAACAGGACTTGGACATTCATTCTTCAAGCAGAAGAAAACTCCCCGGGTATCCTCCAGTTCAGAAGAGGGGACGTTGTTTGTAGGGGTTCAGCCTCAGCCTTCCCGTTCTGGAATCATTCTCAGTGGAGTCGCAGCAACTCCCATGCGTGGTTTCTCTAACCGTGCGTGCTCGGCAGCAATGAACTTATTTCCTTCGTATATTTTCCCCTTGCCCTTCAGTGTTTGCTTTTTCCTTCCTTGACTACCAGGGTTTGACAGTCTTTAGGTATCTTGTGATTGGAAGAAACTTTTCTACCAGACTTCTGAAAAAGGCACGAGTGAATTTTTATGGAATAACGGGATCCTCTGGGAAGAGTCCTTAGGGAACTTTATTCTTTTATCGGTTCAGGAAGTGATTCCAAAGAAATGAGCAGCAGCGGGGGGAGACTATAAGGAGGATTGAGCAGGACAGTGGACTCGCTGAGTGCCAGATGTGTACAAAAAAGACCAAGAGATATTCACCGTGACTGAGCCTGGGAAAGATGTGTTAGTTTAATTAGCTGGTGATCTCGATAAGTGGCTCTCAAACTTCCGGCAGTCTTTTAAAAAAATCCCCATGTCCATGTTTCACCCCAGGCTAATTAAGTCATGATCTCTGGGGAGGGGACGCAGGTACCTGTGGTCTCTAAAGCTCACCAGGTAGTTCCAGTGGGCAGCCAAAGGTTGTCAGCTGCGTCGCTGTTGGCTTTCATAGGACAGAATTAGATGTGAATTAACTTTTTGTATTTACTTGATATATTATCACTTGTGTAATGAGAATGTCTGTGCAGAAAGCGTTTGCCCACGTTACTCCTTAAAGCAGCCCTCAGTGCTTACTTAGGGGTTTTATCAGAATCACGTTAAGCACTAGGCCTGGTTGGGAGGCATTTTGATATGGTGGAAGGAACATGTCGTCCACTGAACCAGCGTGTAAATCCTGGCTGTGTGTGTATCCTTGGACGAGTGACTTTAACTCGTCAACGTCTGCATTTATAAGTAATCTCATAAGTATTGAAAGATTCCAACTGGGCCCCTGTGCAAAGGAAACTTCTTCCTTGCCTGGGAAGGTTGCTCACCTTGGAAGAAAGGCCCAGGTCGCGGTGGGCTGGGCAGGGATGCCCTCCTGCAACGCCCCATGAGCCCACCGAAGCCATCAGCGGGGCAAGTGATGTCACCCTCATGGCCCCCCTCCAGAGGCCAAAAACGTCTGTTGACCACTTGGACCTTCTTCTTTTCCTAGAATACAACTGATGCAGTATGTCATCTATGGAATTGCGTCCTTTTTCTTCTTGTACGGGATCATTCTGTTGGCAGAAGGCTTCTACACCACGAGCGCAGTGAAAGAGCTGCACGGGGAGTTTAAAACAACCGCCTGTGGCCGGTGCATCAGTGGGATGGTGAGTACGAATCTCTGATGACTGATACCCAGCCAGAGCCACACCTCCACGTGTTTCTTTGTATTTGGTAAAAGCTAAACAGAGTAGGTGCAGAGTCCATGACAGAAGGAGTGTCCGTTCCAACTTAGAGTGAGGAATATGAAAAAACCCTCAACATATTATTGAGGAGAACTTAAAATCTATGGCTGGTAGGATGAAATCAAGCATTTCTCTTATCAACGTCCAGATAACAAGGGTACTGGAGGTTCTTCAAAGATAGAGCCCCCACTGTGAAAGGAGATAGTTTTCCTATTGTCTCACTGCTCTCCCTCATTTATCTTTGAATATGGATTGTGTCCACGAAGACTCACCCATGCTATGATGAATGGTCCCAGTCCCTCTGGCAGTGTTGACCAAGCATGCTTCCTACTAAGCACCTCGCTGGGGACTGTCCTCCAGAAGTTTAGAGCCTAAAGGCGGGGGCGGGGGGGGGGGGGCGGGGGGGAGGCCCAGGGAACTTGGCTTTGCTCCCAAGGGGTCAGGATCCCACTTCCGGGCCTTGGCCACTCTTTGCCTCCTCCCCCCGCCCCTCCCAGGGACCCTCCCGCCGAGTTTCCTCGTCTGTAAGCTGCAGCTCTAGGCCAGGGGTCAGCAAACGACTTCCCTTTCGGTGGGGGGGTTAAGCCGGCTCCAGAGCCAGCCCGCCACCTGTTTTTAATCCACCTATGAGCTGGGGGAAGAAACGAAGGAATAGTATCTTAGGACACACGAAATTCTACGCCATTCTAGGTTTGATGTCCATAATAGACCTTTTGGCACCCCGCCACACCCCTTCGTTGACACGGCGTCTGCGGCCGCAGTCATGCTGTAACGGCAGCGCTGAGGAGTGCCTGTGACCGCACGTGGCCTGCGGAGCCTGACCCGTCCCCTTCCGGGCCTTTTGCAGGCAATGTTTGCTGACCTCTGGTCTAGAGGAGTACAGAGCCTAAAAGGAGCTCGTTAAGAGGCAGGGTTAGAAAGTGCCGTTTCACAGAAGGAAAGTCCGGGGTGGAGGGAGAGGTGGGAAAGGGGCGTTCGTGGAGTTTGATTCGGGGCGCGTTGAAGTGCAGCTCGTAATAGCCTGCGCCGAGCAGCTGGCTGGCGTTCGAGCAAGTGGTCAGATGTGACGAAAACACTTGGGGAGTTGAGAGAGACGCGCTCCCACAGAGGCAGAACGCCCAGGCTGGCTGAGGAAGGCAGGAAGGAAGGCAGGAAGGAAGGAAGATACGCACCCTCGCTGCGGGGCCGCGGATTCCAGGGGGCACTGACTGAGCTCTCTGCTGTCACGCGGTAAGGACGCAGAGCCTGTCTTAAAAGACACGGAGTGCCCAGTGTTCCTAAAAATCCTCCTTAAGGGAGGCACAGAGAGTGTAGGTACTTCTTTGGGCCCAGACGGGAGCCCGGGTAGGAAGGGGCCGGGACAGCGTGCGCTCGTTTTTTCCCGCGAGCAGCAGTAGAGCTGTGGGCCCAGGGCCCGGGGGCCCAAGGAGGGCGGCAGCGGCACCCGGCATGGAGGGGGAGGACCCAGCCTGAGCAGAGCAACCCGGAGCAGAGGCGCTGCGGCCTGGCTGGCAGGGGAGGCTGGAGCCCAGAGGAGGGAAGGGATGCTGCTGCGGAGAGCAGACCGCGGCCAGATCAGGAAAGGCTTGGGCTCCCGGGCTGGGAATGACAGCGAAAGACAGGTAGGCTGTGACGGGACCACGCACAGGGGCAGCAACTGGACAAAGGTGAGCAATAGGGCATCGATCGCGAGACTCCGGGCTCGTGGGGAGTGAGAGCGCGGAAGCGGGCACAGAGGCGAAGCCCACGGGCGAGGTGGGCTCCGGGTCTGCTGTACGGGAGTTGAGCGCGCGAGGTGGGGGCGAGCCGAGGACGCTGCATGGTGTTGGGGCGCCGGGCGGGTGCGCGTTCTGAAAATATCAGACCCACAGCGTTTCTGAATATCAGACCCACGGCGTTTCTGAAACAGCCTTTTCGAAGCTCTCTGAGAAGCGGTAGTCCAAGCAGGTCAGGAAGAAAGGAAAGCCGTACGATCCTGTGCCTGGTGAAATCGCCCATGGCAGCATGTGGGCCAGCACGATGAAGCCTCTTCCCGCGGCCATCGCTGCTGTGGATCTTAAAGCTGAAAAATACAACAGAACAAAACTAGAGGGAAATGAGCATTTTATCAGGTCCACTTGTGCACGAAGCTTGTGATCACGGCTATTGTAAACGTAGTGAAGGTGCAAGCATCTAGTGCTTTTTAGTAATTTCGCAGGATCATGAAACTAGCCAAGTTCCTTTGGGGAAAGGGCTTCCTGTAGCAATGGCTGTTCTACGGCCCATCCATTATGTAACAGAAAGGGAGTTTAGGAAACTGGTACCGAGTTATAATCCAGTGGCCTGTGAAAGCCTCCAGCCACTGGTGTTTAGGAGGAGGCCCTGTCACCAACTAGCTCTGTGACCTTGGACAAGGGAGATCCTCTCGTGGCCACTCACGTCCTTGCTAAAAGAGGGACCCGCAAAGTTCCAAGACTTCCCTTGTCACTGCCGTGGTCCAGGCGGTGCTCTGACCGCGTCCCACAGGTTCGGTATCAGCCAGGAAATGCGTCATCACTCCTCCCGGGGGATGTGCTTTGCCCTGGTCGGTGACGATTCTTTCTCCTCCTCCTTTTCGGCCTAGTTCGTCTTCCTCACCTATGTGCTGGGAGTGGCCTGGCTGGGTGTGTTTGGCTTCTCTGCGGTGCCCGTGTTTATGTTCTACAACATATGGTCAACCTGTGAAGTCATCAAGTCCCCCCAGACCAACGGGACAGCCGGGGTGGAGCAGATCTGCGTAGACATCCGGCAATACGGTACTTACTTTTCATCTCCTCGATTCATTGGTATCCTCTTGTGCATGTGTCTGGGCCTTAGTTATTTACATGGGCGTCTAAGCATCCAGATGGGTTTCATCCCTTCTACTGGAAGAGGTTATTATACTCTTT